GACAGAACTTTATTAGAGGCCTTTGGGCCCTATTTCTCTACCAAAGAACAGCCTTGAAAAGTGTCCTATCATATTCAAGGAAAGATGTTTAGTGCTAATTAACAGAGACAAGGAAAGGCTAAAGTTTAGTTGGACAAGAATTTAAAGGCCAGTCAATTTCGAGGAAATTAAAGTCTCCAGCACTAATTTTAACTTCGAAAGCGAACTCTGAAATAAATTTAAATATTTCACAAAGATTCGCATAATATTCAAATGATGAGTTATAAGGATTATATACGCATCCGAGAATTGCCCTTTGCCGGGGCCATAGGATAATAGAAGCAAAGCAGTAATTTCCGGAGAAGGACGAGGTATTTAAATAAAACGGGAAGTGATTGAAGGACGTTCTAATATAGAGAAGACAATCACCACCACACTTATTAATACGATCTTGGTGGTAGAGATCATACTCGCCCATGATAAGGGAGGAGTCAGATTTGATTGAGTGGGTTCAAGATTCTGTTATGTATATAACATTGAGCATCATCTCAAAAGCAATGGCTCAAAGTTGGGACATCTTATTTATACCAAACCTGACATTTAGCACTGTGATATCTAGTGTGCTTCAAATGGCGGGATTACGGCTATCGTGATTCATAAAAAGGAATTTAGAGGTGGGTGGGCAAACTGTAGGCCATTATTATTTGGGGAATAAGTACGAACGGGTATAGAGCTATTTGCATACGAAAAGCCAATAATGGGTGGTTGATAAGGTCTGAAATATCTGGAGATCCCATGTTCTGGGAAAATGAGGAGCGGATAAGCTAAAATAAGCTTCGTGGCCATTAAGGAGGAATGGGGAAGGCAAGAAGACATGTAGAGTTTTGGAGGGTGGGTTGACGGGGGTGGGTAAAGGGCGTGATCGGGGGAAACTTTGACATTAAATAAGAGATGGGGCTATGTACGTAAGAACTAGTGGCCTCACCCAATGAATCTCTTATGCTGCGACTAAAATTAGATTCAAGACTACTCATGTTATAATTATTGCCGGGTTGAGTAAATTTTTCGTGGTTGATGCTTGAGGCGTCCAATAATGCGTTAAATTGGGAATAATATGACTCGTATGGACTAAAGAACTGCATTCAAACGGGAAAGCGGTCGGTGTAAACGCTTTCTACGGGGTTACCGACATAATCGATAGGCTTGCTGCACAGCGAATGGCATCGGAATTTATCGATCGTGTGACAGAGGACGTTGTTAGACTAGTTGGGAAAGAAGTAGATCGTGGAGTGGAGGGGCTTTAAGACCCTAAATTCGGGGGGGTCGGATTTCTTGGTATATTGACGTCAGTGGGACTATAACCAGGCATCCGGGGGGCGGAAACCGTGCTGGAATTCTGAAAGCAGATGGCTTTGTTCTAGGAAATGCATTACTTGTTTCTCGACTATATTTTCCATAATTTTGCATCAGATTGCAGTAAGGCTGACCGGTCGATAGTTGTTTCCTGAGGCCCGGCTTCTACGCTTGCAGAGCAACGTAATTCTCATGGATTTCCCATTGGCTGGTAAGCATCCGGTCTCGAAGGATGTTTGGAAGAATGTAGAGAGTGGTTTTGCCAACTCACTTTCAAAATCTTGGCCGATACTTCATCGGGACCCGATGACTTAGATTCTTTTAACCATAAGAGTTCATTCAGAACAAGAGCCTTGGTGAATTGAATAGTTTCAACTACTGTGTCCACGTCGGTGTCGTCAGCAGGGTAATATTATGCCAATTCCTTTGAGACACCTGACCGGAAAAATTCGGAAAGATGACCAGTTTTCATCTTCTACAATGTTTGTACCCTCAGCGGTCCTCAGGGGGGTATCGGATCCTTGTTTTAGCTACTCTACCTGAGGTAACTGTAAAACAGATTGGGGTTCATTGTGGTACAGTTCAGTAGGTTTGCTTCAAAGTCCCGCCTTGTTCTAAGAATAAGACCCTCATGAATACTGTCTAGTTGTACAGGGGTTAAAAGAAGCCATTTCAGACCGC